CAAAACTAAGCACAAGGTGACATGAAGCCAGAGGTCTTTAAAGAACTAGAGGCAAAGGTGGGCTCTATGAGGCAGCTGGCATCAGAAGACCAGGGAGCAGACCAGAGCCTGGCAGGAGCTCCCAGGCTCGTTTGACGTGGGGCTGTCCTGAACGCACATTGCCCCAGACTGAGGATCTTGGTCCTCCATCTCGTCTCGTGTCCTAGAGCCTGTTCCTGTGCCCACCACACTGCAGCTGCCCTGGCTTCTTTCTCTTCCTCCTGCTGGCTGTGCCCATCCCCATCTCAAGACCTTTGTCCACCTTGAACGCTTCCTCTCTCAGCCCGTATTTCAGTGATTTTTAAGCGGTGTGCCATGAGATGATCTTAGGTGTGCCATAAAAATTTTTAAAGGTTATTGATTAAATTATTTTCAAAAGAAGTTCAAAGCATAGTAAATATATTCTTTTTTATACTCTGTTTTTGGATCAACATAATTTAAGTGAGCAGTGGAGGTGTAACTATAGGTTCAAGTGTGCCGTGAGAGAAAAAATGGTTGAAAACACTGCATTATGGGCCCGACTGCTTTCTTCACAACAGTCAGGCCTTAGTCAAATTTTGTTTCTTCATCTGTCCTATCTGAAGCAACCCTCTGCCAGTCCCTCTCTGTTACAACACCGTCTTTTACCATCTGTTCAGCACTCAGCACTCTGAAACCATCTTGTTCTCAGGAAATTGTCTTATTTTTTACTGACTTATTTAGAAGCTGAGTCTTCCTACTGGCATGTGAACGAGCAGGAGCTTTTCTGTTTGCTTGGCCGTTATATCCTCATTGCCTAGAATGGGACCAGGCTCATGGTGTCCAGTGAATGAATGAACAAATGGTTACATGAGGTCAGATACGCATGAAGAAAGGAAGCTTACACATCCACCAAAACAATTTGTATTGTGTTTTGAATGCCTGACATTGACAAGATTTAATAAATATTTGTAAGGTAATATTTAATGAAAGATTACTTTTACAAATTACACTGTCATTTCAGCTGGACTAAATTCATCCTATGCAGACTAAGTAATCCAGGCAGCTCTGAGGGCAAGACAGTCTTTGGCATAACAGGTCATCCCCATAGGAAAGTTGGGAGATGCTCAGTTGAGTTAAAAGACATTGAATTTATTAGTAAGTAATTTTTTTTTTTTTTTTTGAGGCAGAGCCTCAAGCTGTCTCCCTGGGTAGAGTGCCATGGCATCACAGCTCACAACCACCACCAACTCCTGGGCTCAAGTGAGTCTCCTGCCTCTGCCTCCCAAGTAGCTGGGACCACAGGCACCCGCCACAACGCCCGGCTATTTTTTGGTTGCAGCTGTCCTTGTTGTTTGGTGGGCCCAGGTTGGATTCGAACCTGCCACCTTAGGTGTATGTGGCTGGTGCCTTAGCCACTTGAGCCACAGGTGCAGAGCCAGTAAGTAATTTTTTAAAAGTGAACTTTGAGTTGGACTAGAACTAAAGAAAATCATCATGTGTATTAAGTTTAGACTGTTATAATTTTTAACATAATAGTTTCATCACAGCCATAAAGCAAGCTATTTTTCTTCTCATTTTAATTTAATTTTTATTGTCAATTCTGCTTGATACATTGTAAGTAGTGGAATTCATTTATGGACTGTATAGGCGAACTGAGCTCCAGGACGTGGGCTCCGATACAGTGAATGGAATCTGTTGTCAGCGTAGGCTTAGGATGTGGCCTTCCTCAGCTGGAACTGAGACCAAGGGGTAACAGCTAGAGTTTGGGGCAGCTGTGCCACATGGGACAATGACCTGCCCTCCTTCAGTTTCCTCACTGGAAAATGGGGAAGTTGAAGTAAATGATGAAGTTGAAATAAATACCTTACTGCTGTGTACTGGTCTTTATGTCTCATGCCTCGCCTTTTACACCAAACCCATTTGTACATTATAGCTATCAGGAGGAGCCATCACAATTTGAAAAAGACTTGCAGTCTGGGAAAAATGTAGACCATCCCCTCCTTTCTCCAGCTCACTTCTCACACCCATATTACTAGCTTTGACAGCCTTTTTCGTTTCTGTCACACTTATTTAGGGTTTTTTTCTTCTCTTGGTTGATAATAGCACTTGTATGCTTGAGAGAGAGTATTTACTTATTCTACAGATGACACCTGAGAGCTGGAGCACCTGCAAATGCCTTTGAGTTTCCCTAGATACCATTTGATAAAAATATGTCCACTCTGTGCTGGGTGCGGTGGCTCATACCCATAATCCCAGTACTCTGGGAGGCCAAGGCAGGTAGATCGCCTGAGCTCAGGAGTTCACCACCAGCCTAAGCAAGAGTGAGACCCTGTATCCACTTAAAATAGGAAAAAGTAGCCAGGCATTCTTTGGGTGCTTGTAGTCCCAGCTACTCAGGAGGCTGAGGCAGGAGGATCACTTGAGCCCAAGAGTTTGGTTGCTGTGAGCTGTGAGGCCACAGTACTCTACCCAGGGCGACTGAGTGAGACTCTGTCTCAAAAATGAATAAATAAAAATATAATAAATGGAAATAAAAACGTATTTACTCTGGTGATCTTCCTGAAATGCCCTGAGGGTAGTCAACCAGTGGACATGTAGCAATTGTGCTTTGAGGAGACCGAGCTAAGTTGTGATTTTTTTTTTTGTTGTCATTGTTTTTTGTCACACTAGGGCATTATTTTCCCTGAAGGAGAAGACTTTGGTTCTAACTTCCAAGGCAGGTATTTTCAATAAATTAACAACGTAAATTTGGCTAAATATGTCATCTAAATGTCAAGGAATTAAACCAAATTATTCTCCATACATATAAAAATGTGCACTACAGAGACACAGAGCACTTCAGTGGGCTGCAGGCCAGCTGATCGTGCATCACGGTCTCCTGTGTTCTCAAGGTTGGCAGCGCATTATTCACATTTGATAGACTTGAAGCATGATATCACCATTTTATATTACAAAGGTTTATAATTTATATGTTTGTTTTTTTGCAATATAGAGATCCATAAATAAGAGATACAGGATATTAAGGTCTTATTGAGAAAGCAATTGCATTTTTTACCTTTCCTTTTTCTTATTTTCCTTTTCTCAGTTAAAATAGTATATAAGGCAATACAAAAATGCAAGACGAATTTTTTCTCTTATATTTAACATCATGGGAGAGTATAATCCCTTATGAACTTTAGGGTAAGATTTTATAATCTGAATTGACTTTATAAAATGTGAATAGTATGTTTTTTTTTTGAGACAGCGCCTCAAGCTGCCCCCCTGGGTAGAGTGCCATGGCATCACAGCTCACAGCAACCACCAACTCCTGAGCTCAAGCGAGTCTCCTGCCTCAGCCTCCCGAGTAGCTGGCACCACAGGTGCCTGCCACAGCGCCAGGCTATATTTTGGTTGCAGCTGTCCTTGTTGTTTGTCGGGCCAGGCTGGATTCGAACCCACCACTTTAGGTGTATGTGGCTGGAGCCTTAGCCACTTGAGCCACAGGCACTGAGCCGAATGATATGTTTTTTAAATAATGTTTTTCTTTAATGAAATGTTCTAAGAAATGACTTCTTTTCATTTTTATTATTTTTTATTAAATCATAACTTTGTACATTGATGCATTTATGAGATTCAGGGTACTGCTTTGATATACAATGTGAAATGTTTACATTGAACTAAGTTAACACCTCCATTGCAATTATACTCATTTCTTAATAGTTTTGAAATGTACCATTGCATCATGCACATTAGGTGAGGTCCCCCCAAATACCCTCTCCTCTTATATTAAGAAATGACTTTTATTTTATTTGATTTTTTTTTTTTGAGGCAGAGCCTCAAGTTGTCCCCCTGGGTAGAATGCTGTGGCATCACAGCTCATAGAAACCTCCAACTCCTGGGCTCAAGCGAGTCTCCTGCCTCAGCCTCCCAAATAGCTGGGACCACAGGCGCCTGCCACAACGCCTGGCTATTTTTTGGTTGTAGCTGTCATTGTTACTTGGCAGGCCTGGTCTGGATTTGAACCCACTACCTTAGCTGTATGTGGCTGGCACCTTAGCCACTTGAGCCACAGGCGCCAAGTCAAGAAATGACTTTTAATAAGCACATGATATTTCCCCTAGTTCAGCAGTTCTCAACCTGTGGGTCATGACCCCTTTGTAATAATGAAAATACATCACGGCATTAGGAAGGCTGAGAACCACTGCCCTAGCTGAACCTTAACATAACTCCTATTATGGGAGGCAGTATAGTAGCTGAGAGAGCAGAGCCTGAAGCAGACATCCTGCCCTTTACCATTTCGTAAAAAATGAATAATACACAAGTACTTTATTCATTCTGTCCATCAGTCTCCTCACCCATAAAATGGCAATCAATAACAATAGTACCAGCTTTATATTGGTTAATGAGAAGATTAAATAAGTTGTTACACAGGTCCTTGAAACACTTAGAGCACTTAGAATAATATTCTGATAGGCTTTATTATTAGAACATCATTATCTGTAGTCCTCTATACTTATATGCTTCTAATGGAATAATTACCTCGCATATCATGAATACTCAATAAACATTATTATATACATATTGTTTTCAGCTTGTTGATGTTTTAATACTATGATGACTATCTTTGAAGGAAAAGCTTTTTGCTTTTCTCTTATCTCTCTAAGTTTTTATAGAGAGGATCGCACCTTTGACAGACACTGTTAAATCATCGTCCACAGAGGCTGTGCACCCTCTGTGGCACTGTAACCCTGAGAGCAACTCCTGCACTGCACTACGGTGGGACAGCTGCCCATGTGAGGACTTCTGCAGTCTCCCCAAATCATTGAATATTGAAAAATTGAGATTAAGTCAACTTCTAAGCAAAGTGATGAAAAATTTAAAACATATGTTTACTTTTGATGTGTTTAGAACATTAGTCTTATTTTTGATTGGGAAGATATTTGTATTGATAAGAAAATTTCCATCTGACTTCATTGTTATGGTGTTTTCCTCCATTGAAACTAATATTTTCTACTTTAAAGAAAAAAGCAGCAAGTCTTGGGACCAGTCAACCCTCCAGAACCTCTGCTGGAAGAACAGCCCCCACCGCCAAGGTCAGTCACCTGGTGAACATGCAGACACCCCTGCTCTGCTCTGCAGAGGATGCCGTTAATGGGTGGGGCCTATTCGGGAAGCAAGCAGCGTCTGTATTTCACTTAGGTTTTTGAACAAATATCATTACTATGCTGGAGAAGAGAATGTTACCTCTTAATAACAATTTAAATGACTTAAAAACTAGTAAAACCATTCATTTTTCCTGGCATCTAATAATAATATCTATGAATTCATGATATCTAATATCATGAATATCTATAGATAACATCGGGCTTCTGCATGTCTTAAGAAAATAATTCAAATCCTCCTCATGACCACAAACCAAAGCTCTCTGTTGAATGCTGCTCTGTGTAATTATCTCATGTAACCCCTTCATGACCTTATTATTATTATTCCTGTATTACTGAGGAAACCAGGACTCAAAGAGGTTAAGTAACCTGGTTAAGTAATTTCACAAGGCCAGTAAGGCAGAAAGAGGGTTCAGACACAGCTTTCCTATTAAGCTCTGTGTAAGCATTGTTTTTCTTTTGGGAGTGTAACACTTCAATGCTTTGCAACTTATAAAAGTCACTGAAATGTCACCTTTTAAGACAAGAAACTAATTTGGCTAGTAGATTTGATAAAGTTATATTCAGAACGTTTTAGCTTTGTGGTCTTTCAGCATATCCAAGATTATCTAAAACTTTAACCTACATTTTAAGACTGTCTATATAAGTATTTAAAAAGCATTTAAAACTGGTGGCTATCCTACAGAAGTCAGACTTCTCAGATTCGTGTTCACCACTTGCTTGATGAAGAGTTAATAATTTAGTCCTTCCAGAACTCTGGCTGCTCCACAGTCCCTTAAAGGTGCCCAACAAGAATCAGCTGAGAGAGAAGACTGAATGCCATTTGGGTCTGATTTATAGGCCTCTTCAAAGCTCCTCTTCTACTGGTCAGCAAAAGGATAAAAGTAATTGGAAGACTATGAATTATAAACACAGGGAGTGAATTAATGTTTGGGACCAACATAAATTCAAAACTGGGGTCTGCTCTATGTTAGTGATTCTGTTGCTTCTGGGAACACTGCAGCATTGATGCTCACTGGGTAAGTGACCACTCGGCCAAATATGTACAAATCTGAATTTCCTCTCTACCATTTATTATTTATTTAGTCCTACTGGGCCTCACTTTCCTCATCTGTAAAATGGGGATAAGATTTCTCTTGTCAGAGCTGTTGAGAAGCTTAAATGGAATAAAATATAAATGGGAGGCTGAGGTGGGTGGATTATTTGAGCTCAAGGGTTTGGAGGCCAGCCAGATCAAGAGCAAGACCCCATCTCTAAAAATAGCTGGGTATTGTGGTGGGCACCTGTAGTCCCTGCTACTCAGGAGGCTGAGGCAAATGATGATCTCTTGAGCCAAAGAGTCTGAGGTTGCTGTGAGCTACGATGACATGGCACTCTACCGAAGGCAACAGAGTGAGGCTCTGTCTCAAAAAAAAAGAAAGAAAAGAAAAAGAAAGAAAGAAAACAAAAGAAAAAATATATAAACACTCAGCCCTGGGCCTGGCATTTTGTAGGTGCCGAAAGAAATGCATCTCTCCTTTGGTTACTCGTTATCCTCATATGCTGTTGCTTCTAGGCATCCAACAAAAAAAGACTGCTAACTAAAAAAGATTACTTTTGAGGACTTGCATTTAGCATACACTTAAGTTACGCCTTTAAAAATGAGAAGCTTTATTATCAAAACATCCACCCAGTGATATTTAGTGAGCTATTTGTAAATGTTTCCAGAATTGCCATTACTTAAACTTTTGAAGGTTTAAGCAGGCACCCTCAAACTACAGCAGCCCGCCTAGGACATTTATCCGGCCCACCAGGTGTTTTTGCTGCTGCTGCCTGTCCTGCTTAGCAGCTGACTCCTCCCCGGGGCCCCCGCAGTCCGGCCCTCCAACTGTCTGAGGGACAGTGAACTGGCCCCCTGTTTAAAAAGTTTGAGGACCCCTGGTTTAATGTGTTTCAGAAAGCCACGTCCAGCTTTTTCTTTAACTTAATCATAAGAATCAGACCTCTAACATTTTTTTTTATCACGTAGAGGTTATCATCCAATCATTCTGAGATAAGGAATGATTATAAAGAATAATCATAAAGAATTTGTAACTCTCTCCTCAAAACCCTGTTCTGTCTTAAGAAGCTTGGGAAGGGGCATGGGGCACAGCTAGTGGGTGAAGACATTTTAGCCACATGCTTATTGTTTTATTATTTAAAAGCAAGCCTGAAATTCTTTCCTTGACTTTTAAACCATTGTGGTTTTTCCAGCTCTGTTCTTATCCCTCCTGTAGATATTTCCTTCTCACTGTGGTTTTCTGAGTCACTATCCTTCACCAGTTTCCTGAGCATTAGTTTTCCAGGTTTTAATTCTTCACCTTTCTCATATCTTAAATTCTTACAAAGTATTGAAGAAATATACTTGCTTATTTCTTCTTTTGATGCCTGATTGGAATGACTCCAATTTGTTTATATCATTATCCCTTAAAGATTACCATTCCCAAGCTTTTTTAGAAAAGCTTTTAGGGGTAAGAAAGAGCCTTTGTGAGAACATGGAGCCTCTCATCACACAGCTGTAGCAACACAGCAGAATACTGTCCAGAAAAGGCAGGACAAAATGGGACACACAACTGGTAATAAAATTAGTTCCAGTTTTTTGTTTTTTTTTTTCATTCTGGACATATTCAATTTGAAATTTAAAATAAGTGATAATTTTAGTTACTTGTGGAAACCTTAAGAAGTCTATCTTAAAACTTAAATATTTAATTTGAAGCATATTTGTAAGCTGTGTATTATAGAATGGTTTCCATATTTTGCGAAACTGTTTAATGAGAATCCTTACAAAATAAGCAATTGTGCCCACAGTTAATATTCTGTCATGTATTTCTGGGCTTGAAAGATTCAAAGTTCTTAAGTGGTATACACATTTCTAACTCAAAATAATTACTGTAAAATATTTAGTGCTTAAAATGTAATTTGTATTTTATTTTTTGAGACAGAGTCTCAGTCTTACTCTGCTGCCCCGGGTAGAGTGCCCTGCTATCATAGCTCACAGCAACCTCAAAATCTTGGGCTTACGAGATCCTCTTGCCTCGTCTTACAGTAGCTGGGACTATAGGCACCCTTCACAACACTCGGCTAGTTTTTTCTATTTTCAGTAGAGACAGGGTCTCACTCTTGCTCCAGCTGGTCTCGAACTCATGAACTCAAGTAATCCACCTGCCTTGGCCTCTCAGAGTGCTAAGATTACAGGCATCAGCCACTGTGCCTGGCCTAAAATTTAATTCTTGATAAAGTAATAATGAAGACTAACAAGTCTTCAGAAATTATAGACTCTTACATAAGCTAAGATGGAGATAGTCGTGAGCCACAGCCAGTCCTGCAGTTTTATTGTGGGAGGACTTCTCAGACAACTTCAGTTTCAATAGCTTCTTTGTTCAGGTAGGAGGAAAACAGGTTCCAATTGCATTAGAAGACCATGTTCTGGTTAAAGTTGTTAGTTCTAATCGTAATCTACTCTGACTAGCTTAATCTACAAAGGAATTTCTTAAGGGATAGTAGGTAGCTTGTGGGGAAATCCAGGAGGGACCAAAAGAAGGAATCTAAAGCTTTACAGCCAGAAACAAGATGCAGCAACACTGTGGGACTTTCTCAGGCTGAAACTCTGCTGTCATCACCGCTTGGCTCTACCCCTGTATCACTCCTTCCACCACTGCTGATCCAGTGGCTTTATCATAATGCAGACTTCCTGGCAGTGCCCTCCACGTGTGCTCACTCCCACTCACATTCTTATCTGGCAGTCTGGCCAGGGTAAGTACCACGCTACATGGAATCTCAGGTGTGAGTCTTCTGGATTCTTTGAGGTGGGAAATCATTGGTACACAGTGACAGTTTTCGGATGTATGTCCAGCTGCCAAATGTAGCTGTCTCCTACAGAAAGGAAGACAGAAGAAATCCCTAATTGAATGGGAGGGAAAATCATTGATGGCAGATAGTTCAGCAACGTTAGGCTTTTCAAACAGAAGATGGTGCGAGTTTCTGTGATGAATTAAACTAGCTTACTATGATTGACAATGAAAATACATGAATACCTGAGAAACTGGAAAGAATAGAAGTCGGGGAGATGGCATGTTTAAGGAATCTTTCACCTACAGCTTTATCTTTCCCCAAGTACTATTATCAGTAACCTGCTTATTGGCTCAAAGGTCCAGCACCTTGTCTGGAGCACAAGAATGATTTCAGAGGGAAACTAAGTTCTGTAGAAACACGGAGAGTAGAGGTCTCAGGAAAGAACAAGGTGCACATAAATGCAAAACAAGCACTGGCCTTTGAGATTAAGCAATATTGATACAATGGCAAGTCATCCAACACCAGATCCCTGAACCACAAGCCATAGCTACAACTTTAATTGGATGAGGGACTGATCTTAGTGATCTTTGTCCTGAGAGACCATCAACTATGGATGGCTGTGCACCTGAGTGCCTCCGTGCCCCTGAAGCACCTTCTGGGGTACAGGACTAATGTAATACATTTAAGCATTTATTTCCACTCCCGAGTCAATGTGGGCCATAGGTAACATGCAGGAATAAAGTTCTCCTTTTGTAAAAAAAAAAAAAAAAAAGGCACAAACAAATTTTCTCCCAGGCTGGAGGAGAAAAGACCTACCAAGGAATAAATACCCAGCACAGAAATGCTTTTGTGACTTGGGTCTTGGTTCTGTCATAACAGATCTGATAACTTTGACTACACAGTTCTTCACGCTCTTACTTTTACCATCTGTAATATGAGGGACTAGAGAAACTCTAGTTGTCGTGAAATTCTGACATTCAAGGTCAGCATTACCCCTCAGTCCCCTTGTACAATGTGTGGTTTGACATGACTCTGTGTCAGTCAGGAAAGCATTTTTATTTTAAATAATTATGAATATATTTTAATGTGCTATAAAAAGTGAACTAGCATATGAGATTCAT